TAGAAAGAAAGAACATTTCTCTGATACATGTAGTCTGGGTACCTTCAATGATAACATCTTCATTTTCACAGTTTAATTTTTTAAATATTACTTCCAAAAGTGTACATAATGCAGACTTAGCCAAACTATCAAACTCTTGGCCTCCAAAGGCAATTACAGCTAAGTCTTTACAATTTAGTTCATGTATTTGCTGTGTCATGGTAACTAACGTAAATTATATTTTCGAATTTTTTCCAATATAAACCGCACCAGAAAATATAACTTTTGTAACTGTATCTAAAAAACTTATTAAAATAATATCAGAAAAAAAACTTGACAGAAAAAACCTTTTTTAACTTTTTTTGTTCTGACAAATTTTGAGTAAATTGATCAGTTGCAACAAAATCAGTAGCTCTAGTGAGGGACACACATGCCTATTTACTCATAGTAAGTTTGGCTTAATTATTTATATGAATTGGACTAATTAATGCCCGCAGCTGTTGGATAATATTGATTTAATTTTTTTTTTTGGTAAGTGCTTACTAGGTAAATCAATTACCTGAATTTTGACCAAAATATGTGGAGAACACTTTCTCAATAAACAATAATTATTCTTCTGGAGTTTTAGCGCCACCAGCAACTTATTAATTATTACTACGAACTATTGATTAAAAAAATAAATACAATCTTTATTGTTGAAATAACAGAAATCATGCGCACCTCATGTTATATCAACTGTAAAAATGTTTTAAAGGGTTAGTAATACTGGACAACCTTCAAAAGCTCGAAGTTTAATTTCTAGAGTTGATGACAGATGATCATCTTTTTTAAAGCAAAGTTTTCTACGTTAAAGGAATCTAAATTTTGAACAATTGAATATCCAGGTTAATGTATTTCGTTTTATCCGCAAGGTCCGATGGTATATTTTGCAGACTATATCGGAGATACTACATATATTATATTGATTTTGGTATACTTATAGCTAGCTAAATTTATTAAGTCAACCTGGTTAATAGTTCAATTGAGAAGTTTCCTTTGCCGATTCCATCATTTCCAAACACTGTTCGCTTTATTAGCCCTCAGATTAATTTCATATTTCTATTCGATGGTTCATATTCTTGTTCAATATTTTTTTTAAATTATAGTTTTAAAGCAGATCTTTTAATAAGTTTAAACTGATTCACTTATTAACTGTAAACATTTTTTTACAGATTCGAAGCTATTCAGGTATTGTTTTAATTTTTTATTTTTAAATTTGGAAACTTAATTTTAAATAAGGTTATTTAAATGATTACTTTCTATAAAGTTTTATGATGCCCGTGATTTCGACTCGTAATCTATGCCTGGACTCATAATTTTTTATTAAAGGTATCTGGAAATTTGGATCCTATTAATTTGGATCAAGTATTTATTTCGTTATTATGTTAAGGCTTGTTGAGTCAGTGCACTTGAGCACTTTTACTATCTATTAACTGCGAGGTTTCTTCATAACCCCCTCTCTACGACTTGACAGGATTATTGTTTATCACTTCATATAAATTTATGTTATAATTTAAATGTCATCAGTACATGGTTTTTCTTTTTTTTAATGTCATCGGTTTACTCAAAATTTATTTTGAGTTGTTCTATTTCCAATTCGTGATAAAACTTATCAAAAAAGTGAAATTAATAAAGTAATTTTGTGTAATAAAAATTAGAGTCTTATAGCAACACAGCTGATTGAATTCTTCAGTGTTAATGTTGAGATCAAGATTTTATTTATATGACCCCAACCAAATATAATTATAAGATGTTTTATGTTATATTGTATTGTTTATTGTTCTAACTGCATTGTAAGTCTGTTAAAACCTACTAACGGTGACCTGTTTAGTGAGGATATTGTTAAATCTATTTTGTTGGCATGTGTTTTGATTGTGATAATCTCTAGTTATTCCAGTTTAGTGGGGATGCTACGAATATAACACGAATCGTTTTTTTTTTATTATTATTTCAAATCTGCTGCTACTAGTGTTCTCTTTGTCTGTTCTTTAGATAGTATTTCACTGATAATTTACAAAAATGTTTTTTAATTAAAGCGATGCTAATACTTATTAAAATTACAATAAAAAACACATGCATTTTCCACAAAAATGAAATGAAATAATAATTGATCCTGAAAGCATACGAATATCATTATTGACAACTTTTCATATTTTGCAAAATATAATTAAATTAATTAATTAATCAAATTTAACACAAATATGTTGTATGTTTATTTCTATTTTATTTTGTCTGTTATTTAATATAAAGTGGTGAATTAAAAAATGAATATTAAAACTGTATGACTAAGAATTTGGCCATCTCTTTCTTCATCTCTTATTTCCTACCAGACCCCTAGCTTCTCTTTCTCCCGCAGTGTGATGTACGCGATAGAGTCCATACTAAACCATGCCTTTATTTGCACATCTATTTTTAACAGCTAATAAGGAAAGGAGTGGAAAAGACAGTCAAATCCGAGACGGAATTTGAAAGGAAGAAAGAGACAAGATGAATAATATTGTTATGTTGTGCTATAGAAAACAACTCTTGTGATTAGAATTTACTAAAGCCATATGGTAGCAAATTATATATCGATGTGCATAGAACTTCATCATCATTTTGTTTTTCTTCACCATCTTTATCGTTAGTTATATATAAAGCAATATCTTCATTCGCAAACTCAACAATAAACTGACGACAGACTCCACAAGGTGTGGTTAGATCTCCACTTTCTTGATATGCTACCACTGCTCCGGCTACAAATTCTCGTTCACCTTCGCTGATTGCTTTCAACAGTGCGGTTCTCTCTGCGCAGCAAGTTGGAGAAAAGGCAACATTTTCAACATTACAGCCGGAAAATATGCGACCGCTCTTTGTTCGAAATGCTGATCCTACTTTGAATTTACTGTAAGGACTATAGGATTGTTTGCGAGCAGCAATAGCAGCACGAATTAGCTCCTTAGTACAATCGTCTATAATAAATATATTTATAAAAAGATATTACAATATGAGCCACACACTAAACTACCTAATTCGCAATAATTTTTGGTGCTTTCATGAAGTATTTGGTTGCATGATTGCATTTTGAAGGTATCTTTTTTTTTATTCTATGCACTAAAGATTGCTAGAGCGATGTTTTGCTGATTACTTTTTCCATAGGCTTTAGAATCCCATAAAACATTATACTTAACTATTTCATCTATTGTCTGAAAATTTTGAAAACATATTTTAAACAAATAACGATTAATATATTGAAGATATTATTATAAAATTATTTAACAAAATATAAGCATTCTTTGTTCAGAAATGTATTTCGTAACTTTTTAATTTAAGAATTTATGCATAGAAGTATACACAACAATTTTTTCATTATCCATTTTCAATAATAGAGACTTATGTTGATAAATAGTCCTTAACCTACATAATTGCTTCTAAACAGTGATATGTTTATGATCTTAAGTATATAAGCAATCAGTAATTGTCACTCAACCTTCATTCAACGAAATTGAGAAAATTGGCAAGACTCTAACAGTTTCCATTATTAGAAACATTAGATATATGAGAAGTGTGGATATACAATTGTTCTACACTATTGACAAAAACCATAGAGCTCTCTGCGAATAATACTAAAACATCAATCAACGGCATTAAATACAAAGCTCTGTATATAGTGATCACAATATTTCAGGATCTAAGTGCGTCTTCTTGGGAAATAATAATCCGTTTCTTTTACCATTCTCGAGTTTTATATAACACATAGACTAATTTAAATTAATTTTGGAAATGCTATATTTGATCAAAGATTGAAACTGAATTATAAAAATTGGATTAATTGGTTTTTTATTAACTTGACATCGAAATTACTTATTTATATCTACATATACATATACATATCTACATATAGTAATGTGTAGAATTGGATTCTAGTATTTACTTTTCTTGTTCTTTCTTATAAACATATTTATTACCTTTACAACGTGTTATAAGTTTTCCATTCTTGAGGGTTTTAAACCTTTTATTTAATTACGTCCATAGTTTTTCTTTTTATTCTTGTTTTCTTAGAAATTCAATCTTCAAATGTAAGACTTGGATTCCCAATTAGTCTTCTTTCTTCAAGCTTTGCTTCCAAGCTGCGTTTCTTGACTGACATTCTTGACAAATGACCGAACTACAAGATGTGTGTATAAAATAATAACTATACTGACTTTAGAATTGATCCACATCCTAAGTATAAATAATTGTACTATGTATCAGTGTCTCTCAAAATCAGTGAATGTTAGGAGGGGCAGTTTAAAATTACACGTTGTAAATTTATGAGGAATGGTGAGCAAGATCGTCGCCGTTTGCGAACTAATGTAATAGTGCACTAGAAAATAATTAATTATGGGAAGAATACAGTTCATCCTTCATCTTACGAAAACAGCTAAATATTCCACTGATCTGCTTAGAGGAAGCTGTAGAATATTTTTAGATCTTACGACACATTCCACACATAGCGCAGTATTTTGCTGGTCTCAAAAAGCGTATGCATCAAGTTATAACACAATCACCACAAAAGGTTAGTTATCAGATACGACCTATACTGACGCATTTGCATTATAACTTCCTTTTGTACGATTTGTTTGCAATCTTAATCGAAATCGCCAATAATTCTAACTTATTGACATTATTATTCAAAAAGAAGTGATGGTGCACTGCGACCTAGAAGATCTATTGTGGCCCTTAACCGGATTAGAGTTTTTCTCCAAGTCCAATTTATTTAATGAAAGACAGTATAAAGCCTATCTTTCCTAGTCTAGAGTCTTTATGATCCATGAAATACCCTCCTAGGTGTTTCTTCCGTTTGCGCATCAGTGCTGGGCACTCCCGAACTTCTAACTTACTACATAGTATGTTTTTTTAAACGAAATTTTAAAGATAAAATAATTTGTATTTTATTGTATTTCTAAGCATTGCTAAATAATTAATTTATTTTGATATTCAGGATATTCTATTCGTTTTCATTAAGCAGTTGCACGAAAGACCGAAAACAGTTGATATGACAATTTTAAAACCTGGAAAGAAATTTTGGCACAGCAAAATATCAAAATGTCCAATTATTATATATTCTTAAGTATATTGAAACAATATATTTACCGCCATAAATGTTGGCATGGACACTGCAGTAAATTTATGAATGCTTAGAACAGTAGGTTTCTCCGACCGCATTATAAAAAATAATATCATTTTGCGATACGGCAAGTTTCCCTCATACCAATTACTATGGAACGCAGCATTTCTCAATTTTTCACTCTTATATCAGAAATGAAGAGATATTTTATTTTAGGTAAATATAAAGGAATGATATACATACTGCGCTTGTTAGCTCACTACCTTGATAGCATATAAAGAAGGTAAATACGATGAAAGTCAAAAGACCAACAAAATATTTAAAGGCGTGGGCTAAGCTAATCATCAACATAGAAAATCCCATTAAGCACATTGCAATTGATGAAGTGAAAAAGTTAACCAAAAATGTGACATTGAAAATGTTATTCATTTCTCGTGATAAACTAAAGAATAAGAAAAGAACTTTATCTTAAATATGTTGAAGATAATTTAATTTTTTTTACTCAAGTAATCGATTATGATAACTAATTATGAATTTAAGCCGTTCATTGGCGTTCTGCTGGGTGGCATCCAAATTCTCCAATGCATTTGCCAAGAAATCGAAATGCATTTGCATCTGAGTTATGAAGAAACACAGCATAAACTTAACCGCCATTATAAAGGAAACTCCAATGATGGATGAAAACATCTGACAGAAGTACGCAACCACAAACGAAACAAGAGATTTTTGATTCTCGATACTTTGCCACATGTACCACGTATTCGATTGGTAACGATACTTTACAATATTATTCGGCCAGAATGCCTCATAAGTCAGTTCAACTATTGGCAGAGAGTTGTAATAGATCATTGCAGACATAAAAAAAAGTTTTGTCACTCTCATCAAAAGTTGTGATTTCTCATAATAATACTGTACACGGTAAAAACCGGCAGCTGGAAATAAATTAGAAAAATAATTTATTTAATTAAAACATGAAGATTTTAAGCAATTTATCTATAACATACTTGCTCCGCATTGGTTAAATCTGTACTTGATTTGCTGCTGTTGTACACAGTTACTTGGGAATATGAGCTGAAACTGCTCCATAAGAATAGAAAATCGTTTTCCATGCCAAAATGTTGTCCAAATGTAACAAACACAGACAAATGTAAGGCACATAATGCTTATAGTTTCAGCAATTTTGGCTATTTGTTCCTGCTCATCGATTTCATCGGAGTGAAACGATTGCGGTAGTAATAAAAACATCACCAAACCAAAATTTTGATACACAAGGTTCACAAAACCAACCAGAAACCAAATTGTCTTTAAGCTGACCACATTTTCAACTTCAGATGAAGCTCCACTCCATGTGAAGGGCCTTATGCCAGCTAATCTAAAAGCAAAATTTGAATATTCCATAAAATCATTAAAATTGAATGTTGACATATTTTTTTAACCATAATTTTTAATGAAATTTATATAAAGAAATTTTATCTTCACTATTTTTCGAATTCTTACATTTAATATTGCTCTCAGTTCTGCACAACCTTTATATACAGACACATCCTCATGTGTTAAGTTGGATGATTTAAAATTCACAAAGTAACTCGCTTTGACATCGCAAATTATCAATTATAAGCCGCATTTTGAGTGGGAAGTGAGGTCGTGAGGACTTTTGCTAAACTGTTTATAATTAAGTAATTTTGTTAATTTGATAATGACATAATATATCCATTTATTTTATAATGTTATTAACTTGACTGAAGTTATTTTACCACTAAAAATTTCTACGAATATGCATTCTCAAAATAATAATAAAGCCTATATTACTATGAGGGTCACTATTTATATTTTGAGCCTTAGCTACACTGATTGTTGTCAGGTGTCATCTGCCATTTCCATACAAAAGTTTGACATTATTAAACATAACCTACCTTATGACTTTCTCAAAAGAGCGTTTTGTGTGTTATTTACAGTGATTTGTAAAGTGAGGGTTCGCGAAAAATTTGAATTAACGTGAGAAAATTTTCGTTCGATGATTTATTACAACTTCGACTTTCGACGTGGATTATCAAGACAAGTGTGCATCGATTAACTTACATCCATATTTGGCGATGAAGCTTCATCTCCATCCTTTGCCACTGCGAAACGCTGAAACAATGATTTTAATCGTGACTGCAGTTCGCTGACTTTCACTGACAAAATTCGTAAAGGTCGTCCAGAAAATATTGAGGCTATGAAAAAACTGATACGAGTAATGCAAGATCGTCATGCGACATACTGTGAGATTAAGGCAGAGGTAGAACCCTAAGCATTTAGCCGTAACAAAGGTTTTTCTCGTTGGATTCCCCATTATTTCATTATTTGACAAAATCTCAAAAACATCCTCGTGTCAATTGGTGCACACAAATGCTCAAGAAAAACAATGGCGGTGCTTTAAAACACGTTTATAAGATCGCAATAAGTGACGAATAATGGATAAATGCATATGAGCCGGAACGTAAACAGCAGTCGACTGTATTGGTGTTTCAAGATAAACCAAATCAAATAAAAGGTATTCGCGCTCGAAATACTTCGAAATAAAGAATCGCTTATGCTTTTTTATCGTTAAAACTGATCATGTGGCAACTACGAGTATAC